TATATATGTAGTATCAAAGCAATTGGACTTGCGGTTTTTAACAAGAAGTCGAAAATATCATTTTTTACCAAAAATGACAAAAATATTCACCAAAATTAGAGAATTGAAGATATCATCACGAAATGAACAAATCTGAGAGAGGTCCACATGTAGTACCTATATATGTAGTATCAAAGCAATTAGACTTGTGGTTTTTAACAAGAAGTCGAAAATATCACTTTTTACCAAAAAAGACAAAAATATTCACCAAAATTAGAGAATTAAAGATATCATTACAAAATGAACAAATCTGAGAGAGGTCCACATGTAGTACCTATATGTCTAATATCAAAGCAATTGCACTTGCGGTTTTTAACAAGAAGTCGAAAATATCACTTTTTACCAAAAATGACAAAAATATTCACCAAAATTAGAAAATTGAAGATATCAACATGAAATAAACAAATCTAAGAGAAGTCTACCCAAGGTACATATACACCAAGTATCAAAGCATTCAGGCTTGTAGTTTTCAAGAAGAAGTCGAAAAAGTAAAACATTGACACGGACAATCACTCATATGATAAGCTCCGCTCGACAAAGTCGACAGCGGAGCTAAAAATTAATTGTAAATTTTATACACAGAGGATATATCTTTCCACACATGTAACAAAGCTTAAAACCTCTGTCATTAAAGAAGCAAAGTCACATTTTATCTCCCTTGACAAAGTTAAACATTAAATTTTTTCGATTTTTTTTTATCAAATTATGTTCATAATATTGTCCAAACAATTATAGAAAAATAGCTAAAAGTAGGCAAAAGGTTGCAACGTAATTTTGGTGTGACAATTCATGGTGTTTAACACACGGAGCCAGAGTGTCAAAAGCTGTTTTGTCAATGAGCATGTTAATTAATCAGTAAATATATAGTTGTGTAAATGAGAGAACAAGTACCGGGGGTAACAAAATAAATATTGTCTTTGGAAGATGATAAGGAGCTTACTTTAACGAACACCGGAAAACCACATATTTCCTCGCTGTTTCTGAGTAAGTTTTTCACGGTATAAGCTTTGCATTTGACGAGCAGTTTCCATTAACGCCTACTGAAATGAAAGAGACAGGCACTTAATGTTATATCTAGACTCTAGATAGCAGCGGAAGCTGGTCCACAAGGTCAAGTCAATTATTGATTTGTCAGCATTTCCAATAAAAACAATGCATACTTTGACACATTAATGATGATGCAATCAAAAAGGGTAAATTTTTGCTTTTTTTGTGTATATATGTGTAAAATTCTTTTTTTTTAAATATCATGTTGTGTTGCACACTCATGATAGTAAAATTACAATCTATTAAATATGATCAAATATCAAAATTGAATATCAGTAAAAATTAATGCTTTCAGAAAAATAATTATCATTCTTGTACCATCTTAATGTAGAATATACCACTTATGAGTTTTTTTACATATTATTGACAATATTTCGTGTCAAAATCTTTCTAAAATTACGGTAATCATTTCAATATTAGTCAACAGTATGTGACCTTTTTTTTCTCTCAATCTGTTTTTTGAGAAAAAAAAGTTAAAATAATATGTATATGAGGGGAGATCAATAAGTTCTCGGCCTTCCTCATAAAACGTTACAGAGGGTAGATTTTTCTTACAAGTTATTTTTCAACATAGTCCCCTCTAAGTTCATTGCAATTTGTCCATCGATGTTCCTGCTGGAAGAAGGTTTCATCTTGATCCTTTAGATAGGCCTCAACAGATTGGATGACGTCATCATCAGTCTCAAAACAGTGACCACGCAAGTGTGACTTTAGTTTAGGGTCCGAGGTGCCAGGTCAGGTGAGTAGGAAGGGCGAGGTAAGATTTCAAAGTCACATTTGGTTGCTGCTGCCACTGCCACCTGTGCTGTGTGAACAGGTGCATTGTCCTGGAGCAACAACACACCAGCTCGACGCTTTCCTCTCTTTTGCTCTTTGATTGCTAAACTGTCACAGTTCTGAAGCGTAGTACTCTGCATTGATTGTTTGACCCTTTTGTAAGTAGTCAATCATGATGACTCCTTAGCTGTCCCCGAACAGAGAGGCCATCACCTTGCCGACTGATTCTACTCGCTTGAACTTCTTTGGCGGCTGTGAACCCTTGTGTGTCCATTGTTTGCTCTGCTCTTTTGATTCTGGATCAAAGTGGTGAACCCATGTCTCATCTTGGGTCTGATTTGACTGGAAACAGGCCAAAAGCATCCTCAAAACTTGTTCAACTTCTGATATTGAGTCAACATTCGGGGAACCAACCTTGCAGACAGCTTGCTCATCCCAAAGATGTTAGACAAAACGTTGTGAACTGCGCCATAACTAATGCCTAGTGAATGCCTGATATGTCGGATAGTGACACGTCTGTCATTCATTACCATGCGATGGATGGCCTCAACCTGAAAGTTAGCAACCCACTTCTTAACAGTGGAATAAAAAAGGGAGTCCTCACCAAGTGTCCTGACCATGTCTTCGTGAATTTCTTTGGGAGTCATCCCCTTTTTATAGTGATACTTGATCACAGCACAAGCTTCTGCCTGGTCCTAATTTCTGATTTACTTCTCACCTGCTGATTTTAAATGAACACAACATCATGCTAATGAATGAATACCTAAATTTGTGTTTTTATAGGTAGTGACTTTATAGTTAATGACATTATAGTATAAAGTTATACCCAAAAATAGGAGTTCTGCCCCTTATTTCCTGGTGAGGCCAAGAACTTATTGATCACCCCTCATAGACCACAATGAAAACATTCCCACTAAAAAAAAACCACTAAAAATATTGTTAATTTTTTAATATCAAAAAATACCTTGTATGTGACTTTATATTTCTTTCATCATCATATGACACATGATATGTTTCAGACATATTCCTGCAAAACATGATATTTTCACTCTATTTTACTGATTGATTTTCCCAAACTGAGTACTGTGACCCTATATTTTTAATCAATTTTCCCCATCCAAAACACACGGAATACCAAATCAGACAAATTGCACAAGCTAAGATTGAATATCTCAAAGCGCTCAGTCGAACGCACTGGCAAAACTTGTAACAAACGTGACTAATACATCATGTGAAATCGCTACACAATCCTAGTTTTCTCTCTGATAGAAGAGTCAAATAGTGAAAGCAAGCATGGTAAACTAATTATTTAATAAATATTGCCATATATCTTGTCCCCTTATTTGCATAAATCGATTGAATATGAATATGTCTACCTGTAATGTGGGAATCTGATTGGCCGTCATATGATTATGAGGTAATAATAATGATTTTGAACGACTATAATTCCAAACCAGACTAAATTCCCTTACAACATAGAAGAATGAATAGGGGTAAGATTATGTGCAATCATTGTTTTGACTCGCAGCATTGGTGTTGAAATGCTTTGTGAGATGATAGTAAATTATTTATAAAATCTTAAAAATTCATGCTAATTGTTTTCTTTTTTTTAGTTATTATTATTGTCTGTGACAGTGTTTGTTCTTTTACTTGTTTTTTTGTTTGTTTTTTTTTTGAATAAATTATGTAAATTTTAACATTATTTCAAATCAAATATTCTATTCTATTCACTGGGAGTTATGATGTATATATAAATATCAGCTAGGGATACGTCACAATAAAAGTCACAATTAGGAATGATATATATGATTCATGTTTATTAATTTAACTTTATTACTCAGAGGCCAAAAAAGATTGTAATTTCTTTACGGTGATAATAAAATGTTTTGTATTGTATTGTATAGTACCATAATCAAGTAATAAACATGCACATTGATTTCAAAGTACAAAGCCCATTTTATCGAAGTTTCCATTATAAGAAATGATATGTGCGTGCTTGTACATACGGGCAGGGCTCCAGAAGGTGTACCTACACTTTATGCAATTTTTTTTTAAATTATGCTAATTTATTCATGACATAGCAGTTTCTGTGCTCATGAATATTCATTAATTTGTGGGTCAGTACATTTTAAAAGGGCCGATATATTATTTTAGGGGGAAGAGTTAGAAAGGGGGATTAGTAAACCTTAGGGGGTCAATACAAAAGAAGGGACCCATTTGGAGAGCAGCCATGCTTCTCGTGTCTGTTGTTGCACGTGACCTACAGCTGTCAACTGTGTTCGTTCTTAGACGACTTCGACTGGCTTCCATGTGGGGTAGTATTCTTGTGTTCTGTTTTTTCTGACTTGAGTTTTTGAATTTGCTGTTTATGTTTTTAACGTCTTTCATGTCTTTTGTAGGAGTGTCCAATCCGTGATTCAAACTTGCGATCTTTGAGTTCCCAGCGCACTGTCTTGTCCACTGTACCACAAGTGTCTTCACACAAGAGATAGGATTTAAGTCCTATTCATAGGAGCACTGTCTTCACTAGCATTCAAAAATCTAACTAAACATACTGGATTCGAACCAGCGATCGCTCACATTGCTGACATAGTGCAAATCAACTGAGCTATATGGGTAGTCATGCAAATTGAATAATTTGTTGTCATATTTAGCTTTATTGCCAAATAGTGTTTGCAGAAAATATGGGCAGGCATGGGATTGAACCCAGGTCCTCCTGATCACTGTGTAGACAACAATAACCACAAGACCACAATTGATTGACTGGATGTGTTTGCATTTGATAAGACTATATAGTGTGTATATATATATATAGAAATACAACATATTTCTATTATTGAGTTACAATTGTCCAAAAAATTGCCAATTTTGTGTTTTTACTTGTGTAAACTATATGCATGCCATAACCCGTTAGTGTACATCTTGCCAATTGGGTGTTTGCCATTTGCGTTGCCCATATATGACCCGACCCTAACCCTAATGCCAAGACACGTTACTGTTAATAATTCAGTTGCCCATACCTGACCCGACCCGACCCTAACCCTAATGCCAAGACACGTTCCTGTTTATAATTGCTCAATAATGATACTCTGTTGTGCACTGTCTGCGGGTAAGTTGCATTGATGCCAACTGATTAAACAAGTCGCGTTTAAGTAATTTCCACTATTAACAAGTGGTTAAATTGTGACAATAAATGTGTGGACAAATATTTGAGATTAATTTTGGTGTAGACAACTCTCGTTTAATTAATTCCCACAATTACAAGTTGTTATAAAAATTGAGAGAATAAAAGTGCGGACAAATATTTTAGACTTATTTTGGTGTAGACAGCTCTCGTTTAATTATTTTACACCATTACAAGTTGTTAAATTGAGAG